CGGATAGAGGAGGAGACCGGCTGACGGAAAGACAAATGCCCCCTTCTCGCAGCTGGCCGAGCTGCAGTGCGAGGTGGCCGCCCTGCGCGCGGAGCAGAAGGCGCTGTCCGGCCTCGTGGAGTCACTAGGCGCCCAGCTCCGGGCCTTCGCTGAGCAGCAGGTGCAGCTTCGAGGCCAGCTGCAGGACCTGGACTCCAGGCTCAGGGAGAGGTGATCCCCGCCCACCCTCTGGCCCTGCCCCTACATGGCCCTGACCCCGCCCCACTCTACCCACCACGCAAGCCCCGCCCGCTCAGGACCTGGCCCCGCCCGCTACTCTGAAAGCCCCGCCCCCACCTGGGGGCGGTCCTTCCATCCCTGCACCTCTGGCTACGAGACCCTGCCTGCCCTCTTCCCTGGCTTTCCCCAGCCTTTGACTTTTCTTTCCCCTTTTGCCTGCCCCTGATCCCTTACTGTAGGACCTCCAGGTTGCACGCCGAGCGCGACCTGCCTACCTATGACGTCCCTAGGCTGAAAAGTTGGGTGAGCGCCTGTCGGAGCAGGGAGATGGGACTGGGCGGTGGGTTTGTGCTCGCCTCTCATGTCGTTGCCTCCCCAGGAGCACCGCCTGGCCGCCGTGGAGAACGCGCAAACCCAGCTGAGCGAGGCTCTGCAGCGCCTGCAGCTTCCCCCGGGGACCGTGGGGTCCCCCGGAAGCCAACCCCAGCCCTTCAAAGGACCCTGCGTCAACGGCGACACCCCCTGAACGTCCCCCTCCACCTCCAGTGGTTCGGGAGCAGAAAGACAGTGAGGCGGCCCCTGCCTCCGCTCTTGGGCTGGCAGGAGGATGGTGCTGTAGGTGCCAATCAGGCTGGCACTATGAGATTGCAAAGTAAAATCCTGATTCAGTCAGACCAGTGGATGGTGTTTGTTTCTTTGTTGTCCCTAGAGCTGCCAATCAGAGGGCATTTCACCTTCCCATTCTGCTCTTCCAAATGCTCCCTTAATTCCAGGTTAGGGGAGGGAGACTGTAAGCAGACATTCTCTGTAGACCTTAAAACTTGACAGAGTGTCCATTTTCCACCGCTGTGAAACGAATCAGAACTTCCTAACACTCGAAAAGTTTCATCCTTTGAAGGAGGGTCCTTCAATCTTTACAACCTGCAAGCCCTGCACCTGTCCTGTGTAGCTGTCCACAGACTGACAGCTATAACCAAGGCGTTAGACCTGTGGTTTTCAGTCTTTCTGCACCTGTAATCTGTGGGTCAGTGTTCAGTATAAGTGGTTCTCATAGTTAGCACTGCTGTCACTGAAATGAATTTCCATCTCCATCAATTCCTGGACCCCAGATGAGACACAGTTAAGATTCCCAGATCAAAGTTTCCCATAAAGTGGCAGATGAAGGTTTGGGTAGGCGTGCAGATGGCTGATTTCTGTGGGGACTTGTCAGGGGAATGAGTGGACATTTGAATTTTGGATGTGTGGATGGGCGAGGGCTTGTGCGAGGGGGTGGGATACAATAGCTGAATTGATGTTAGCATTTAAGCAGGACATCTTCCCTAGTAGGTGAGGAGTTAGGTTGGTGGTTAGCTGGGAAGGGAAGAGGTCTGGATTGCGAAGGGTAGTAAATATTTACACCTAATTGCATGATTTTATATGTGTGGATGATAGGCGGGGCGATGCGGTGGTGTCCCACCAGGACACTCCCAACATTGGTACATAAGTCTCCTGAGATGTTTGAGTTGTGCAGTGGGTAAATAGTAACCAGCTAGACAGAGAGGACTTATGCTTGTGGCACCTACCAGACAGTAGTACCAACAGTCAGCCTGGAATTGATGGGTGCTTGGGTGACTGGAAGGAAGGGGGTGTGTAGGGTGGATAAGTGCTTGGTTGCATCAAGTGGTTTTATGGATGGGCTGGTAGGTTTTAGGGTTATGGGTAGGTGAGTATCAGGTGGCTATCAGGATGGAAAATGGTTAGAGGATGGGTGGGTGGGTGGATGGATGAATATGTAGATGGAAGTATGTTTGGGTAAATAGGGATTTGGGCATGGGGGGGATAAGTATTAGGATGTGTAGTTGCAATACAAGTGTTCACTTGGTTGGGATATGGATAGGCTGGTAGGTGGGATGTGAGTGGGTTATTTGTGTGGGTGTTTGGATGGACAGAAGAATAGGTGATTGGAAGGGTGTTTGGGGAATGGGCATACAAATGGATGGATGGATGAATGGGTGGCTGGGTGGAAAGAGGTGTATAGGATGGGTGAGTGCATGCTTAGATTCATGGATAAGTAGGTATTAACTTGGGTGGTACTTGGAGAAGCAGGTAAATGGAATGTGGATAGGTGAATTGAAGGGTGTTTGGATGAACTGATGGAAGCAAGGATGGTTGGAAAAGTGTTTGGAAGATTAGATGATGGAAAGGTGGATAGGTGGCTAGTTGGATAGATAAATGGGTGGTTGTTGGACTGTTGCATGGGAGAAGACAGCAGCCTATTCTGTGTGTATGATAGGCTGTCCAGAAGGCTGTGATCATAGGGCATTGGTGCAGCAGAGGAACCTTGGACAGCTCTAGAGCATGGGTCATGCTAAGTCCAAGGTGGATGATAGGCCTGAACTTGTGGTGGCAAGTTGGGTTGGTGCAGGGGTCTGAGAAGGAGTGATTGATTAGGTGTAGTCCTCAGTGACCTATGAATGACTGACCCATGGGGAAGCGTCTGTGCCCCCACTCCAACTCTCCAGGTGCTATTAGAAGGCCTAGAGGTGAAAGAAGCAGAGGAATGAAGAGTAACCATTGGGGTTAGGAGGGTAGGAGTGTTGTCTTGGTAACCGGGCCTCACCCAGGGGCCTAGGGGCCCTTTTAAGGTGTGTGTGGGGGGCGGGGCGATGCGGTGGTGTCCCACCAGGACACTCCCAACATGGCGGCGCGCCCGCCAGCCGCTCCCCCCTGGGGCGGCGCGGGAGGGGGCGCCGGACCTCCTCATCATGGCGGCGCGGCGGGGCTGTCGCGCTGAGGTCACGGCGGCGCGCCGGGGGGCGGGGCAGCGGGGGGAGCGATTTAAAGGGACAATGTCCCCCGAGCGGTGGAGGCGGCGGCGGCTGTGGAGGCCGCAGCACCGGCACCGGGAGCAGCAGCGGTGGTAGCAGCAGCGACGGCCGCACCGAGGAGGGGAGCCCGGAGCCCCGGCGCCCGACCGGTGGGGCCGCCTCCCTGGTGAGGCCGGGCCCGGGCCAGGGAGCCGGCGGGCGGGGCGGAGCCGGGGAGGGGAGGGGGAGACCCGGGCCGGGCCGGGCCGGGCGGGACCCCCCGGGGCGGGGGGCGGGGCTGCAGGGGCGGGGCCTCTGGGCGGGGCCGTGCATGGGGGAGGAGCGGGGGTCCTAGGCAGGTGCCCCCCAAGTGGGTGCATCCCGCGGGGTCTCCCGCCCCGAGGAGAACGGGCGGAGGGCGCCGCTCAGGGACCCCGCCCGTCCCTCAGGGGTTCGCGGGCGCGGCGCGGCTCCCTCCCCGGCGACCCGGGAGGGGGGCGTGCAGGCGGGAGCCCCGTGCCAGGCTGCCAAAGTGCTCCGAAGTTGCGGTCCCGCCGGTGCCCTGCGGCCAGTGCCCCCCTCCACCTTGGGCACCCGAAGGTGCTTTCTCCAGCCAGGCCAGGGACCCCCCCTCCCGGTCAGGGTTGCCAGCCCTGGGACCAGCCCCCGCCCCGCCCCCAGGACCCCAGGGCAGCGCCGGCAGCCAGGCCTGGAGCCCCGGCCCCGCCCCAGCTGCCTGGGCCCAGCCTCCCCTCCTTTCCCTGGGGAAGGCGCCTCATTCCTGCCCTTCACTTTCCTCGTTACCTTGAAGGTATTTATAGTGGAGCAGAGGCCCCGCCCCCTCGGCTCCCCAGGGTCCGCTTTTCTGGACCACAAGCTGGTCCCTGCAGCCCTCAGAGGAGGGCCGGTCTGGCAGAAGAGGAGGGGGTGCTGGGGTCACTTGAGGCTGGCGTGCAGGTGGAGAGCTCTGAGGTGGGAGGTGGGAGGTGTGAGGGGGGTCTAGGGCCTGGCTGGAGCCTGCTGTGGGGATGGAATGGGTAGGCTTTGAGAACAGTTCCAACTGCAGACACCAGGGAACGTATGTCAAAGGGGTAAACTGAGGCTGTTTAGCGGGGATGGGGGTTCACAGCTTCTGGGGGCTGTCAGAGAGACTCAGACTCAGCACCGAGTCTTCAGCTCTGCTAAGCTGGAAGGAAAACTGAGGCTGGGGAAACTGAGGCGATTCTATTCTCTGCTCACAGCTCCACAATGTGTCACTGAGCCGCCCAGCTGCTGAGGGGAGCAGGGCTGAGCCCTCATGGATGGCCCCCTGGCAGGAGGCCTGGTGGCCCCCGACCACCCCTGTGGCCCCAGCCGACTGCCTGGCCCAGCGCCCAGGGAAGACATGGACGGTGGAATTGAGGAGGCCGAGGGTGACAGCAGCATCTTCCAAACCACGCAGTACCTGCCTCTCTCCAAGGAGGGACCCCGGGACATCCTGGACGGCCAAGGTAGCCTTTCTGGTAAGAGGGGACTTGGCCCATGACGGTGATGGCGGCACCCATCCAGCGAGGGCTGAGCTGGGCTTCGTGTCTGCACTTGGGTCTGGCAACTTTTCAGCCCTGGTCCCAGGTCAGTGTGGCATTGAGGCCCTGGATTCCCGTATATACCGGGCCCGCAGGCCCTGCCCTGAGGGTGATGGAGCATAGCCCACCTGTACCTGACAAGGTAGTGGTGGCAGCTGAACACCCAAGCCACCTGTTCCAGGGCCCCTCTCTCCCTCTGATCTGCCCCGTGCTCTTCAGCTCACGCCCCTTACTGGGGAGAGAGCGACCACTCCATGCCTAAGACGTGTTTCTGTGCCTCAGTTTACCCCACCCCATGATGTTTCTCCCTCATTAAATACTTGGCCGCTCTTCTAGTCATCAGGGAGACAGGCTTAGAGCTAAGTGCCTTCACCCTGAGGGGCTCCAACAGTGTGGAGGGGAGGAAGACCCAGAACCCCTAGGGGTTGGCGGGTAGGGAAGTCTGAATGGCAGGACCACACCTGGCGGCCAGGAGGAATTTAAGGGGTACCCAGCAGGGATGGCGGTTCAAAGACCAAGTACCGAGTGGAGGCCGAGTGGAGGTCAGGTGGAGGCCAGTGTCCACATGGCTGGATCTTGGAGGGTGGGCAAGGCAGACCTAGGCACTTGAGGGCCCAATATCTAGAACCATCTGAACTCCTCTCCTGCGCAATTCCTGCAAACCAGTCTTTTAATGCAGTGATCTCTTTTATTGTGTGTGTGGGGGGGTGACTCTCCAGCAGCAACTTGGCCCATGAGGGTCACACCTAATAGAGGAGGATCAAACTGGTGTACACTCCAGTCCTTGGCGCCATCTCCCTGGCCCCATATGATCATTCTTGAAAGATTCCCTCCCCCTCCCCCCCATTTATCTGTGTCACTGGAGATGGGGAAACCGAGATACCCCCCCCCCCCAAGGGACAAGTGAGCTGCCTTGGGTCAGCGGTCATGGCCAGACAGAAAGCTGGCTGCACCACGTCCCTGCCAGTTTGAGCTGCTCTATGCCAGCCACTGGCTGGGTGCAGGGACAGGGGGTGGTAAGACCACATAGTGGCCTGCAGGGTCAGTCGCCATAGCAGTGGGTCCTGGACCATCCTGGAGTGTGCACTGATGTGGCACCCACATCAGCCGAGTGCCCTCAGGCACCGTAACAGCGTCGGGGAGCGAGCGAACCCTTTGTTTGAGCCCCAAGTCCCCCATACCTGGACACTGGAGCTTGCAATGTCCAGGGCCCCCGGATCTTGGCTCTGTGGGGTCCTTGGCCTTGGGTTCGAGGCACTCGTGCTTCTCCCTATCTTTGCAGAACCCAGGCCATGAGACAGAGTCTGTGATGCTGGTGTGGGTGTCCTGGTCCTCCCTGAGCACCTGTGGGGGAAAGTCCCAGCACACCCACAGGGTCTAGAGTTTGGTAGCTGGACTTGGACCAGGTCCCCTGCTCCTCTCTTGGTTTGCTCTGTCCCTTCCCTGGGTGGGCATCCTAGGTTGGCCTCTCCCAGGTGAGATGTATCCACCACCTGCCCTGTTGTCCATGTGCTCTCCCTATGCCGGCCTCCAGGGGGCAGTGGTGTGTTATTATGCTGCGGCGGCCAGGGTGGGTGAAACTGCGCCTCCACTGGGCCTGTGACCAGGCCACTGAAGCACTGGAGTCCTTCGTGGGACAGCTGCACGCTACTACTCTCCTGCTGTCTGCCATGGAGCCTGAACCCTGGATCCCTGTGAGCCACAGGAAAGACACCTGTGTCCCTGCCCATCTGAGGCCCACACCCAGGCCTTCAGTTATCGCTGGATTCTGCTGCCTGATGGGGCTCCAGGCACTGACGGGCACCGTGGCGTCGCCCCCATCTCTCGTCCTCACTCCCAGGACCCCAGGATGCAGACCAACGAGGGACTGAGCCCAGAACACCTATAGGGACGTTAAAGGGGTCCTCTAGGCTGGGGAGTCCCCCACATGCCCACCACCTTGAACCCAGGGCCCTGCCTGACTGTTTTCCCCAAATTCACCACCAGTGAGAATGGGAGCCTCATGGGAGTGTAACAGTGGCCAGTGAAGTCTTTGTCAGCGGCAGTGACAGACTTGCAGGTTCGGAATCTCTGTGCCTCGGCTGACATGCGTCCATGGACACGCTCTCGTCCATCCTCATCTGCCAGTCCTTGCGGGGCTGGGGGCTCTTGTCCCGCCCTCATCATGTAGATGTTTTTTGGCTGCGGGATCTCTCACAGTGTGGGTGGTACCATGGTGGGAGGCTGGCGCAGGGCAATGGCAGGTGCCCGCAGCCGCTACACAGACACAGGTGCATGTGGCACCACTTGTTTATGGTCCTCCCTGTGGTCCTGCTCTATCTGCAAGCCCTGGGCCAGTGTGAGTGACCCATCGGGTATGCGGCCCTCACTGCCTGCACTGCGGACTCCAGCATGGGCCGTACTGGACAGATGGGGGGGGGGGTCATAGCTTCGCCGTTGCGGAGGCTCTTGCTGGTCACTGGCCTCAGGAGTGTCTATTTCTGTGGGGACTTTGCCCTGGTCCTGTGGCTCCCACTCTGAAGGGGTCCCCTGGCATCCATCTGAGCCTGGGCTTCTGGCTGATGCCCAGTCAGCAACTATGGCTGTGGTGGGTAGATCTCAACCAGGGTAGGGCTCCTGTGTACCTTTGGGTGTTCTCTCCGCAGGGGCAGGTAATGGAGAGTTGGTTCTGTACACGCAGCCTTGAGGGGCCCAGAAGGCAGGGACGTCACGGCCGTACTCGGGACCAGTGCTTAGCATCAACTGCGCAAGGCACCAGCTGCCACTATGAACAAGGCTGGGGAGGGGGCAATGGGGACCACAGAGGGTCAGAGAAGCTGGGGCCAGGAGAAGCTGGGGGTAGGGGAGAAGCCCAGCCAGGAGACCTAAGTCCCGTGTTGCTGAGGCTGGGGGTCGGGGGAGGGTACCTCCAAGGGAAGCAGAAACAGAGACGGAGTCTTGCACTTTGAGAAATGGTAAGGGAAAGTGGGAAAGAGGTGCGCCTGGAGATCTCCGGGGCTCCCCCGAGCGGGTGTGTGTGAGTTCAGGGGGCGTGAGAGCATCTCAGGGGCTCCCCTGATCAGATGGAGTTCAGCTATGGTTTCCAAAGAGAAGGTGTCAGTGCAGGGAGTCAGGGTTGAGGGGGCTTTCCAGTGACAAGCGGGGAAGTGCAGGGAAGCCGAAGAGAGGCCATGGGTGGGGGGGCTGCAGAGGCCCCACTCCCTGGGTGTCCCTGGAGGGGGCCTGGCTGTGGGGGTAGCAGCAGCCCCTGGGTCCCTGAATCGCTCGGGGCCCTCACTCCTGTACCCACTTTTGGGGCTCAGGCAGCAGAGGCTCACAGCCTCTGGGGGAGGGCTGGGGTGCCACCCCTCAGGCTTTCCCCTCTCTGTTGCAGACGGGCAACCCCATCCCAGCCTCTGCGAAGCCCTCCCCCGCGCCAGCTCCGCCAGCCTTCGGACGCGCCCCTGGTGAGTGCTGGCCCCGAGCTCAGGGCGGGCAGGGGCAGGGAGCGAGCTGCAGTGAGGCCAGGGGCAGCGGGGACAGTGATGAGAAGGCAGTGAGGATGGAGAGACAGAACAGCAGGACAGTAGGATGGCCAGACCGTGGGGCAGCAGGACAGCGGTAGAAGAGGACAGCTGGGATGGTGGGGCAGCAGGACAGGAGGACGGCCGGGACTGCGGGGCAGCATCAGTATGAACAGGGTGAGGTATCCCCTGAAGGATGGTCCTGGGCTAGCACAGTGGGTAGGGTCAGCCACAGAAGGACACAGTCCACCAGCCCAGAGCAGGCCATGGGACACTGGGCGTTCCTGAGTCTCAGTTTCCTTATCTGTGAAATGGGTTCCTTAGAGGCAACCTGTAGACTTGCTCGTGGAAACGCGTATTGACGTGCATGAGCGCTGGGCACGGAGCGTCCCTGAGCCTCGGTGTGGGCTTGGCGTCTGCTGTCTGGGTCCTGCCCACTGGGGCTGACTCTGAGCAGTGGCTGTTGGAGGACATCCAGGAACATCTGGGATCAGGTGACAGGGGCTCCCAGACACTGCGCTCCGCCCTTTACCCCCAGCCCCTGCCCCAAGACAGCGGGGGGCCCAGCTGGGCCACTTCAACCTTTTGGGGAGCAGAGACACGGTGGCTCTGGGGGGCAGATGTTGAGAGGTGACAGTCTCCCCAGGGTCCCCACAGCTGGCCCTCTCGGTGGCCCGGGTGCTGCCTCACCACAGCGGGCACTGAGACCCAGGCTAACCTTTGACTGTTGCCACTTCTTTGCAGCCTCGACTTGCGGCCGGGCTCCCCACTGCGCCGTCTCTGGGGCCGCTTCCCTGGCCCCCCTGATGGCCAGGGGCCCTGGGAGAACACCGTGCACCCTGAGGTCGGGGAGGGCCGCCCGCTGGAGCACAGGGTGGAGGACTTGGTCATCGTGAGACCTGGGAAAGAGCTGGAGGGGGGCGCGCTGAGGCTCTCGCACATCCAGAGCAATCTTACACCCGTGCACAAGGGGTTTCGGGGTCGGCCCCAGCTCCATTGGCACCCTGACAGAGAGGGGCCCTTGCACCCTGACCTGCTGCCCCCTCCCCTTTGCCCCTCCCTGCCATCCCCATCCTTCCAGCCAGTATTGCTGCCACCAGCCGTTAACAATGATGCCCAGACACTGGCCATGACCATGGTGGAGGCCCCCCAGAACCTGGAGGGCCTCGAGGGACAGGCTGAATGGGGCTTGTCCAGGGCAGCCTCAGAGGTGGCCACACAGACCTGGACTGTGAACGCAGAGGCATCTGTGGAGCGACTGCCACCTAGGCACCCAGAACCCTACCTCTGTGGGCTCCTGGAGGAGGTGGCTGAGGGAGCAGCTGACCTGGAGGAGGAGGATGATGACGATGACGACGACGAGGATGAGGACAAGGAGCCAGCTGTGTTCCCCTGCCTCGAGTGCAGCATCTACTTCCCACATAAGGCACATCTGCTGGAGCACATGAGCCAGCACCGCCGGGCCCCGGGCCAGGAGCCACCAGCCCACCTGACACCCCTGTCCTGCGGTGAGTGCGGCTGGGCCTTCGCCGACCCACAGACACTGCAGCAGCACCGGCGGCTCCACCAGGCCTCCCGTGAGAAGATCCTTGAAGAGATCCAGAAGCTGAAGCAGGTGCCGGCCGGTGAGGGCTGGGGGACCGGGCTGCCGGGCCCTCACTGCGCCTTGGATGACCGCCCGGGAGAGCCCTTGGCGGCCACTGCCGTGCTGGCCTGCCCACCCCCGGGAGCCTCGTCGTCATCGTCGTCGGGCCTGCAGGCCTGCTGGTACTGTGGCTTCCTGGCATCCAGTGAGACTTTGCTCAGGGAACACGTGAGGCTGGCCCACGCGGCACCCCCCTGGGATGGGCCCAGCCAGGAGGTCCATGACTGCATCCCCCCCGCTGTGGACTACTTTGGCCAAGTGAAGCCGTTCCTGGGCCCTGACTGGCAGGAAGGTCCTGCTGGACACAGCCCGAGCATGGAGCTGGGCCGGGGCTGCCCGCCACTGGGCTGGACGGGTCCTCAGCTCCCACGGCTGACCCGGGCCTCTGCCTCCTGCTCTGTCCAGCTCCAGCAGGACGTGCCCCCTGACCCACTGGGGGCCGGGAGTTACCCTTGGAGTGACGAGGAGGAGGAGGGCATCCCGCTGACCCCAGAAGTGGATGCTCCACCTGGAGCTGGCCTGTGGCTCTCCCCCTCCACCCCTGGCCGCATCCCGCCACGAGCACTGGAGCTGAGGCGAACTTTCTGGGAGGCCCTGAGGGCCGCCGAGGCCTCAACCCTGCAGCAGAGGCAACTGCGCTGGACGGTGCCTGTGGTACTGCTGCCCAGGGTAGGGCCAGAGGTGCTGGCCACCACCATGGCTGCGAGGCAGGGCGCCCCCGAAGCACTGAGGCTGACAGGCGCCCACCCCCTGGATTTGCTGCTGCTGGACACGCCACTGGGGTTGGACGCGCTCCTGGGCGGGGACCCCATGGCAGCACTGCGGCCCGAGGAGCGCAGGTGCCCCTACTGTCCCGACCGCTTCCACAATGGCATTGGCCTGGCCAACCATGTCCGCGGCCATCTCAACCGCGTGGGCGTCAGTTACAATGTTCGTCACTTCATCTCAGCTGAGGAGGTGAAGGCCATCGAGCGCAGCTGCTCCTTTCAGAAGAAGAAGAAGAAAGGTAGGGCCACGCCACCGGCGGGTGGCTGGGGCCGTGAGGCACCCCGCATTGGGTGCGGGGACCAGGCTGGAAGCATCTTGAGCAGCTGCCACATATTGCTGCCCCGCCCAGGACTCACTTTGGTTCCAAGTTGCTGGGCCAGCCATAGGGGAGGCTTCAGTTGTCGTGCTCACCTGCGGCTGGTAGGCTAGGAGACAGTGGACATGCGCTGATGGGAATGTGGTGAGGTGGGCTGATGGGGACCAGAACCTGTTCTTTCCTCCCAGAGACAATCTGTAGCCCCGGGGGTCTGGGGTGAAGTGGGCTGAACACACAGACCATTCAGACACCTCTGCCCTCCCCAGGATGGCCAGGCCACACCCAGACAGTGGCTTGTATTGTGGCTGTTTATTTTGCGGTGCTGGGGATGGAACGTACAAGGCAGGTGTGGTACTGCTGACCAATGGGTGTGGGCCCTGTGGCTGGGAGCTGGGAGCAGAGCCAAGAAGGCTTCCTGAAGGAGGAGGTGTGCGCTGAATGGGCAGGAATGGCTGGCCCGGGGTCCTTTTCCCAGGACATCATGTTCTTTCTTCTTCCACAGTGGCCAACTTTGACCCAGGCACTTTCAGCCTCATGCGCTGTGACTTCTGCGGAGCAGGCTTCGACACGCGGGCCGGCCTTTCCAGCCACGCCCGTGCCCACCTGAGGGACTTCGGCATCACCAACTGGGAACTCACCGTGTCGCCCATCAGCGTCTTGCAGGAGCTGCTGGCCACGGCTGCCACTCCACGGCCCCCTGGCACCCTCCTGCCCGCCCGCCGGGCCCGCATGCCTCTGCCCTTGCCCTGCCCCAGCGGCTGGGCTGAGGACCTAGGCCCCACCTACAGCGACGGTAAGGGAAGCAGGCGGATTGGGTGCCACTGGGCTCCCTGCAAGTGACCCAGTGTCCGCACAGGGGACCCCGGGTGCCCTCGCTACCAGCCTGCCCCTCGGAGTCTGGCTAGGAGACGGATAACTAAGTTAGATACCCCGTAAGGCAGATGTTATATCCCCGCAGTGCAGTCAGAGCCGAGGAAGTTGAGGCTCAGAGAACTTAGGTCCCAGGCCCGCGGTCGCAGTCTGGAGGGGGCGGGGCCTGGGTGACACGCCCACCTCCCGGCCCCGCCCCCTGACTCGAGTGCGCAGCCGGGAGCCCGGTGAGATTCGCGATGGTCGCATCCCAGCCAGCCGACCCCGGACCCCGCGATCGTGACTGGGGGAATGTGTTGTGCGGGACCTATGCCCTGGGCACCACCGCTGAGCAAAAGGGGAAGGACCCATCCCTGTGGAGCCTCTGCGGCCCCTCAGTGCCCCCGGCCTCGTCCCGTCAGTCGCCTCTGCGGGGCCCTCGCTGGACCCTCAGCAGAGCTGGCAGAAGCGGCTGTGAATGCCCAGGAGCTGTGCGGGAGATAGCGGCATTCCTCTCGGCCGTCCGCCCCTGTTCCTTCTTCCAGGGATCGCCCGCAGGTTCCTGGACGGTCTGTGCGGGGCGTGGCTGTCAAAGCTCCCCGACAGTACAGTGGCTGGTGGCTTTGGGTGAAGGGGCGAATCGGATCCGGCTCACATCGGGTGACGGCACGCAGACCGGCACAGTCTGAGGGTGCCCGAGAAGCACCGGGGACAGCGTGTTCTCCTGCCCCGCCCCCTCAGTCCCTCGCGCTAGGCAGACCCCAGCCACATCAGTGAGATCTTCCCAGCAGGCGGCAGGCTCGTCCCGGGGTGGTGATCTACTCCAGGGGAGGGTTAGGGAGCCAGGTCGCAGCTGGGTTGCGGGGCCCTGCAGCGCCCCCCCTTAGCAACCTCTCCAGCCTTCCCTAAGTGGTCGCAGGGGGCCGGCTGCGCGGTTGGGGCAGGAGCTGCGGCTCGTCTGCGAGGCCCTCCCCAATCCCAGAGCCCAGGGTTACGTGGTGCTGGAAACGTGGGCTGGTCCTGAGGGGAGTCCCGGTACTGTGGGCCGTGGGCTACCAGGCCATACGCGTGTGTGCGTGTGCCTCTGCGGGCCGTGGGCTATGATGGTGTGTGCGAGCTCCTCCGCGGGCCGTGGGGCACCACGGCGGGTGTGCATGTGTCTGTGTGCCTCCGCGGGCGGTGGGCTGTGATGATGTGTCCGTGTGCCTCCGTGGGCCACCGCGGCGTGTGCGTGTGTCCGTGTGCCTCCGTGTGCCGTGGGGCACCACGGCGTGTGTGCGTGTGTCCGTGTGCCTCCGCGGGCCGTGGGCTCCCAAGGCAGTTCGGCTCCCGAGGCGGGAGCCCGCTGAGTCCGGGGCGGGGCGGCATCGGCGCTCGGCTGCCCGGCCTGGGCGCGCGTGGGCGGGGCCGGCGGCGCTCGACGCTCGGCTGCTTCCGCCTGAGGCGGCCGCCCCGCGTGCGCCGGAGCCAAGATGGCCGCCTCCACCGCCCAGTGCCGAGTGACAAAAGCGGACGGCAAGGCCGCGGCGGGGCCGCGCGCGGGGGGCGCCCGGGAGCGCGCGCCGGCGGGGGCGCCCCCGCCCGGGCCCCCGAGCCCGGGCCCCGCCGCCCCGCCCGCGCCGCCGCCGCCGCCACCGCCGCCGCCGCCGCCGCTGCCGCCGCCGCCGCCGCCGCCGCCGCCGCCGCCGCCGCCGCCGCGGGACGGGCCCAAGGCCGAGCCGGAGCCGGGGCCCGCGGCCGCGCCCGCGCCGGGTAAGCGCCGCGCCGAGAGGGTGCGGGGAGTGCGGCGGCGGCGCCCCGCCACACCCGGCCCGCCGCGCCGACCCCGGGGCTCCCCTCCCCCCGCCGGGCCCGGCCTCCCGCGCCTCCGCCCGCCCGCGCCCCGGCCCCGCCGCGGCCCCTGACAGATGCGGGCGCCGCTGACAGACGAGCCCCCGCCGCGGGCTCGGGACGCACGCGAGCTCCGAGTCAGGGCGGGGGTCGCGTTCTTGTCTCCGGGCCCTAAGTGTGTCCGGCTCCCCCTCGGGTCGCCCTGCCGGCCTCCCCTTGCGCCCCGAGCCCGGGGCTCTCCGCGTTTCTCTCCGAAGTGCGCGCCCCCAAACCCGCGCTCCCAACCTGCCCTCGCCCGCGGCCGTCCGTCTCGGAAGCTCGTGCAAGTGCCCGTGTCCCCCGGCGCCTGTACTCGGTCCCCAGCTGTCACCCTCTCCGCTTTTGAGCTCAGCCCGAGCAGGCTTCGGCGACTCTCCCTGGCTCCTGCCCGCGGGCCTCTGTCGCCAAACTTCTGCCGTCGGTCACCCCGGCAGTTGTCCCCTCCGCAGAGGAAGCTTTGCCCCAGATGCTTTTTCTGCGACCCCTGCCCGGCCTTCTCAGCCCCACCCCGCAGCCCCGCGTGTGTCCTGGAGCAGAGCTGTCCAGTTCCTTTCACTGCCGCAAGGCCTCGGGGATGTTGGTCGGGCCCAGGCCGCTGCTGAGCCTGTCTCCCCGACCTCACAGGCCTGGGTCCCGAGGAAGGCGAGGTGGTGGCCGTGGACCTGGGCGTGGCCGCACTGCCCAGGAAGAGCCTGACTGTGCCAGGGCCCCTGGAGCAGGTGGCCAGCCGGCTGAGCAGCAGAGCCGCTGCAGAGGGCCCGCACACTAGCCGGCCCGAACTGCCGGACCTCAAGGGTGAGTGGCTGGCCTGGCCAGGTATCCCTGGGAGCCCCCAGCACTTGTCTCCTGTCGGAATGAAGTGCTGCTCGCAGGGTGTGGCAAGGGATGTCATATGGGGAGCTGGGGCTGGCCTCCAGGGCCGACCCTTGGACTCAGCACCACTCCCGACTCCAAGCTTCGCTGGTTGCGCCGCCGTGTTTTGTGATCGTGATTGTAGCAAGTGGAGAACCTCAGCTGCCACCGGCCCCTCCAGACAGGATGAGATAGGAGCAGAGCAGACCTGGCCCTGACCCTGGGCCTTGGACACGGGGCCGGCAGAGGCAGCTGTGGTCTGCGGCACTCGGCCTGGCTCAGCCCCGGAACCGAGCTGGTATGACGGGCAGCTCAGCCCTGGCTCGCCCCCGCCACGGAGCTGGTGTGGTGTGATCCAATGCCTTGGCTGTACCCCGGCTTGCCCCTGCTCTGCGCCCTGGGCACCGTCCTTTCTTCTCTGAGCCTCAGCCTCCTTCAGACAGGTCACTCCCACCTCCCCCAGCACCAGGGGCAGTCTGATGGTGGGGGGAGGCATCACAGACTCCGGCACTTACAGGGGGTCTGGGTGGGTGGGGCCCTCGGGGGTGTGCTGGGCTGGGGCCCTCAAGGCCTTGTCTTGCCCCCAGCCCACAGCCTGACCACCTGCGAGGTGTGCGGTGCCTGCTTTGAGACACGCAAGGGCCTGTCGAGCCATGCGCGCTCACACCTGCGGCAGCTGGGGGTGGCCGAGTCCGAGAGCAGCGGCGCCCCCATCGACCTGCTCTACGAGCTGGTGAGGCAGAAGGGGCTGCCCGACGCCCACCTTGGGCTGCCCCCCAGCTTGGCCAAGAAGTCCGGCTCGCCCAAGGAGATGGTGGCCGGGGCCCCGCGGCCCGGCCTGCTCACCCTGGCCAAGCCCCTGGACGCCCCTGCCATCAACAAGGCCATCAAGTCGCCGCCTGGCTTCTCCGCCAAGGGCATGGTCCACCCGCCCAGCTCCCCGCTCCTCAAGAAGGCACCACTGGCCCTGGCGGGCTCCCCCAACCCCAGGAATCCTGAGGACAAGAGCCCCCAGCTGTCCCTGAGCCCCCGGCCGGGCTCTCCCAAGGCACCGTGGCCCCAGTCTGAGGACGAGGGGCCCCTGAACCTCAGTGAGTGCGGGTCCCGGGAGCAGGGTGGGGGGAGCGCAGCAGCCCAGGCCCCCGGGGGGGGCCCAGCGTCTCCTCCGCCTGCGCCTTTCCCCAGCCCTGCCCCACTGCATTCCCCCAGCACATGGACAGGGCGCCGTCCTTCTCCAAGGGTGAGGGGGGCAGGGAGGGGGGCCCTCCACGTCGGAGGCCCTCTTCCTCCCATCCTGGCTGCTCATGGGCCATCACCCCCAGCCCAGGGAGGGGGGCTTTGGAGGCATCCCCCGGGAAACAAGCGTCCATTGCGCCTGTGGGCCTTTGGTTCTGACCCCAGCTTCACGGGCACCCTTTGTAGTCCTGAGTCTGCCCGCAGAGCTCTTCCATTGGCCACTTGCTTCTGGGCACCTGCTGGGTGATGCTCAGTGGCCAGAGGGGCCCCACCGTACAGACTTGCACAGACTGCACTAGAGCCTGCGCTGCCCACCTGCTGTCCTCCATCGCCACCACTGTGCATAGACACACCCACCTCATCTGCCAGGTCACCCCCCCACACACTGCCCCACCTGCCAGGTCACCTCTTTCATCTGCCATGTCTGTCCCCCTCACACCCATTACAACCACCTCACCTGCCAGGTCGCCTCTCCCCCCTCCCCCCCACACCTGTCACTACTGTTCCACCTGCCAGGTCAGCCTTCCCACACCCGTCACACGTCCAACCTGCCAGGTTGTGCCCCCCCCATCCATCACAACTACAAAGCCCCCCACACCCCATCACACTTGCCAGGTCCCTACCCCCATCCCATTACTCCTGCTAGGCTTCTCACTCTGTCAAACCCACCAGGCCCCCACACACCATACCCCATCATACCAGGCCCCCCACACCCTATCAAACCCACCAGGCCCCCATACCCCAGTTCAGATCACACCATGTCACCCATGTCACCCCCACATTCCCAGTCACATCCGTCAGGTTACCCCTCCTACACACCTGTCACATCTGCCAGATTCTTCCACCCCATCGCACCTGCGAGGTTCACCCCCCACCCCATTACACCTGTGAGATATACCCCCACCCCATCACACCTGTGAGGTTCAGCCCCCACCCAATCACACCTGTCAGGTACATCCCTCACCCCATCACACTGTGAGGTTCAGCCCTCATCCCACACACCTGCGAGGTTCACTCCCCCACCCTATACACCTGTCAGGTACACTCCTCACCCACACACCTGTCAGGTACATCCCTCGCCCCATCACACCTGCGAGGTTCAGCCCCCAACCCATCACACCTGTCAGGTACACTTCTCACCCACACACCTGTGAAATACATCCCTCGCCCCATCACACTTGGCGAGGTTCAGCCCCCAACCCATCACACCTACCAGGTTCCCTCCCTCCCCACACCTGCTTTTTTCATATTTTTTGCTCCCTCTCAGACTGCTCCGCCCCACCCTGTCTCTCCATCCATCTTTCACTCTCTGAACTCAGTTTGGGGCTCCAAACGCCAGCCTGGGAGATCCCTGCTTTTGTGATGGGGGTCCCACCCACATCTCATCACACCCATCAGGTTCCCCCATACCCACCAGCCTTCTATCACGCCTGCCAGGTCCCCCACACTCCATGACACCCCCAGTCCCCCACCCTGTACTTGCGTCACACCTACCAGCTCCCCCACACCCCATCACCCCCTCAGTACCCCACTCCCCACACCCTCGTCCTCCACGGGCCCCCATCGCACTGCCTGCTCCACCCTCACTCCATATTGGCCAGGGCTGGGAGAACCTTGATCCCCACTGTATCTCGCGCCTTCTCAATGCAGCGGCAGTCCTCTGCGTCCCTGTGCCTGTCACATGGGTCGTGTGCAGCCCTGCGCCCAGATGTCACCATGGAGCACCTGTCCAGCCCCTGCACTCCGGCTGTGGCCGCGAACCCTGTGTTTTGTCTCCGCAGCTGTAGACAGTGCCAGGGACCGAGGGCTGAACTGCCCGCTGTGTGGTGCCTGGTTTGAGACCCGCAGGGGCCTGTCCAGCCATGCCCGCGCCCACCTGCGCCACCTGGGTGCCAGCGACCCGGACGCCAAGCGATCCCCCATACTCCTGCTGCACGGGCTCGTCAGGAGGGCCGGCTCCCCATCCCCACTGGGCTGCCCCCTGACCTGCACGGCCTCCTTGCTCCCAGTCCCCACCCTGGCCCAGAAGGCTGAGCAGACGGGCGTGGGCGTGGCCAGCCCCCCGGGGAAGCAGCGTCTCTTGGCCGCCACCACTGCCGCTGGCATTTGCTGGGCCTCTGATGTGGAGCGGCTCCCTCTCGCCCTCTGTAGGTCCTCATCTCAGATGCCCTCCTCCCCGCGGGCCCAGGACCAGGAATGGACAGGCCTCGGCAGTGGGCTCCTGCCCAGAGGGCTGGTGGGCAGTCGCCCTGAGCCACCCCTGGCAAGGCAGCCATGGGTGGGCCTTGACTTCGACCACCAGAGAGTCCCACCTTGCCCTGGCCTCTAGGGCATCTCTTGAGGGCCCCATAGCCTGGCATCTGGGTTCCCGTCCTGCCAGCACACCCCATGCCATGGAGTCTCCTTGGCCATATTTTGGCCTTCACCTGCCCTGCCCCTAACCCCTATGCCCTGTCGCCAAGACTCCAGCAGGTGGCACGTGGGTGCCTATAGTACTGACCTCCCCCTTCTCCTCCTGTCACAGCCTCAGGACCCGAACCGGCGCGTGACATCCGCTGTGAGTTCTGCGGTGAGTTCTTCGAGAACCGCAAGGGCCTGTCAAGTCACGCGCGTTCACACCTGCGGCAGATGGGTGTCACCGAGTGGTACGTCAACGGCTCACCTATTGACACTCTGCGGGAGATCCTCAAGAGACGGACCCAGTCCCGGCCTGGTGGTGCCCACCCGCCTGGCCACAGCCCCAAAGCCTTGGCCAAGATGGCTGGCAGCGGTAGTCCCGGCGGTGTGCTGGAGGCCCGCAGCCCCGCAGACCTGCACCTCTCACCCCTGGCCAAGAAGTTGCCGCCGCCACCAGGCAGCCCCCTGGGCCACTCCCCCACGGCCTCACCTCCTCCCACTGCCCGGAAGATGTTCCCTGGCCTGGCGGCTCCCTCCCTCAGCAGGAAACTGAAGCCAGAGCAGATGCGGGTGGAGATCAAGCGGGAGGCACTTCTGCACGGGGAGCCGCATCCCCCCGACAGCCCCTGGGCGGCCCCTCGCGAAGACCTGAGTCCCCTGAACCTGTGTAAGTGGGACCTGGGCCCAGAAAGGGCCCACAGGAGACGCCTCACTTGAGCCTGCTCCCTGCCCCCAGGGTAAAGGGTTGGGCCCACCGCAGTGGAGGAGGGGGTCCCACAGCACCATGGCCCTGGGCAAGAAGGGGCATGTCCTCAGGATGGCGGACACTCCTATGGCCGGGCAGGGCAGATGCCCTCCCTCGTGCTCACACCCTTTGTCTCCCCCTTCTTTCCTGCACCACTGCTCTATGTGTGGGGTGTGGGTAGAACTGTGTGTGTGCATCTGTCGGTGTGCGTCTGTGTCTGTGTGTGTGGATCTGTGTCGTGCACGTCTGTGTCTGTGCATGTCTGTGCATCTGTCTATGCATGTATCTTATCTGTGTGTACATCTGTGTGTGCATGTGTTTATTTGTGCATCAGTATGTGTGTGTGCATCTCTGTCTCTGTGTGCATCTGTATATCAATCTGCAACTGTGTATGTGCATCTGTGTCTTGCGTGCGTCTGTGTCTGTCTGAATGTGTTTGTGTGCATGTCTGTGTCTGCATCTGTATGTGTTCTGTATCTTTGTGTCCGTGCCTGTGTGTGCGTTTGTGCCTGCATTTGTATGCATCTGTTTGTGTCTGTGTCTATACCTCTCTGCATCTCTGTGTGTGTCTGTGTGTATGTGTGCATCTGTGTCCGTATCCGCGTCTCTGTGTGTGCATCTGTCTGTATCTGTCTGCATCTGTCTGTATCTCTGTCTCTCCATCTGTGCGTGTGCATCTCTGTATCTGCATCTGTATGTATCTCTGTGTCATATCTTTGTGTGTGCGTGTATCTGTATCTGCATCTGTCTGCATCTCTGTGTGTGTCTGTGTCGGTGTGTGTCTGCGTCTGCTGAGTGGAGGGTGGGGCATGTGTCTGTGCTCCAGGTGATGCTGGACAGGCCTGCTCCGTGGGCTGCTCTGACTCTGAAATGTGGACGCTTCTGACCCTTTTCCTGGGAAGGAAGCTGAAGTTCTAAGAAGGGAAGTGAGTGGTGGGAGAGGGGTTGGAAGCAGCCGAGCTGGTGTCCTTAAGCCCAAGGTAAAAGGTGACACAGGGTGTCCCCATGAACACAGCGGGAATATGTGAGGCAGAGCGAGCCAGCATACACCAGGGCCTCGAGGCAGATGAGGGTGCTGTGGGGGCTGGGTCTTGGCGTGTGGACAGGGCAGCCAGGCCACTGGCACCCAAGTGAGCCCTGAGGCTCCCCATGTAGCCGCCGCCTCCCGCCCCTCTACAGCATCCCGGGCAGAGCCTGTGCGCGACATCCGCTGTGAGTTCTGTGGTGAATTCTTCGAGAACCGCAAGGGCCTGTCCAGCCACGCACGCTCGCACCTGCGACAGATGGGTGTCACCGAGTGGTCTGTCAACGGCTCGCCCATCGACACCCTGCGGGAGATCCTCAAAAAGAAGACCAAGCCGTGCCTCATCAAGAAGGAGCCACCGGCCGGGGACCTTGCCCCTGCGCTGGTCGAGGATGGGCCTCACCTGGTGGCCCCTGGGCCCATGCAGAGTGCCCTGCCGCTGGTGCCCATGGCAGGCCGGCCAGGCAAACCGGGAGCTGGGCTGGGCCACATCCCCCGCGAGCTCATCCTGGCGCCCCTCAGCGGTACCAAGGCTGCAACTGTCGGCTACCTAGGCTCCATGGCAGCCAAGCGGCCCCTGCAGGAGGACCGCCTCCTGCCCCCGGAGGTGAAGGCCAAGACTTACATCCAGACCGAGCTGCCCTTCAAGGCCAAGGCGCTGCATGACAAGGCCTCCCACTCGTGTAAGCAGGCGGGTGGGCGGGCGGGGCGGAGGGCAGGCTGGGCACGGCTCCCGTAGCCGGCAGGGCTAGTGCTCAGCGGCATCCTCTGCCCACAGCCACCGAGGCCTGCTGTGAGCTGTGTGGCCTCTACTTTGAGAACCGCAAGGCACTGGCCAGCCACGCGCGGGCGCACCTGAGGCAGTTTGGGGTGACCGAGTGGTGTGTGAATGGCTCCCCCATCGAGACGCTGAGCGAGTGGATCAAGCACCGGCCCCAAAAGGTGGGCGCCTATCGCAGCTACATTCAGGGCGGCCGTCCCTTCACCAAGAAGTTCCGCAGTGCTGGCCACAGCCGTGAGGGTGACAAGCGGCCGCCTCTGGGGCTGGCCCCCGGTGGCCTGGCTTTGGTGGGACGCAGCGCCTGTGGCGAGCCAGGGCTCGATTTGGGCCGTGCGGCCGATGGCAGCGAGCGGCCTCTGGCCTCCAGCCCTCCAGGCACTGTGAAGGCCGAGGAGCACCAGCGGCAAAACATCAACAGTGAGTGCTGCTGGCCGGGCCCCGGGCTGCCCCTCTGGATCTCTCTTGTCCATCTGTCTGTCTGTCCTTGTCCACCCCATCCCCGCCCCACCCCGCTGCTCACCTTCCTGCTTCCCCTCAGAGTTTGAGCGCCGGCAAGCCCGTCCTGCAGACGCCTCTGGGGCCCGGGGCAGTGAGGATGCTGGCAGTCTGCAGCAGAAGCTAGAGGAGGTCCGGCAGCCCCCTCCCCGGGTCCGGCCGGTCCCCTCCCTGGTGCCACGACCGCCTCAGACATCACTTGTCAAGTTTGTGGGCAACATCTATACTCTCAAGTGCAGGTGAGCACCTACCTGGGGGGGAAGAGGGCGGGGAGGGTTGGAGAATGCCTGCCCCCAAGTGCAGGGTGACGAGGATGAAGCTGAAGTGTCCTGGGACTGGGTTCGGGCTGCCCCGCACCCTGCCAGCTTCCTGAGCACTGCTGATGGCATGCTTTGGGTCTGTGATATCAGGGCTCTTCTGGGGTGGGCGCTGGGCCGCGTGGTCGACCGCTTCTTGTCCCCGGGAAGAGCCAGCCTGCAGCCTGCCAGCATCTCTGCCCCTTCTCGGCAGGTTCTGCGAGGCACAGTTCCAGGGGCCACTGTCCATCCAGGAGGAGTGGGTGCGGCACTTGCAGCGGCACATCCTGGACATGAGCTTCTCCAAAGTGGACGCCCCTCCCGAAGAGCCCCCCGCTCCGCAGGCACAGACAGCCGTGACTGAGGCGCCCTGACACGCGCATTCCACACCCTCCTCCACCCTCTCTTCCCTCTTTCTTTTCCGTTTCCAAAGGAGCAAGCCAGAACCTCAAACCGGTCCCCAGGGGGGCCGGGCACACTACAGCTGGGGCATCCGCCCCCAGCACAGGACTTGGGGCTTGGGGGGAGGGTTCCCTGGCCCGTGGGGGCAGCCAGGTGGGGCTGCGCTTGCCTTTTATGGCCATTCCCAGAGACCCCAAAGACCCCCTGTCCTGGCTCCCTCCTGTCCCCGTGGACCTACTCACTCGCGACACGTGCACGCACGCACCTCGTGAGACCTGGGATCTGCCGAGCCCCCCAGTTCCCGAGTCGAGCGACCAAGTCCCGCCACGGTGCTTGCTCAGGGGAGGCCGGGAACCCCTACTGAGCCATGATGCCACGGAAACCCTTGCTGGCCACGCCTCCCCTCAGGGGCTTCCCCAGCAGGAAGAGCTCAGAGCTGATAGCTGCCCCCTGCCAGGTCAAGTGCCCCAGCCTGCGGGCTCGGGCGGGAGGGGTTGCGGTGGGCTCCCCCATGCCCGCCCTCCCCACTTTTCTCTGTTGCTTTCTTTCTATGTATAGCTCCTTAGACCATCACTTTTTTAAAAACGCGTTTTGTGTAGAGAATAAGGAACGTTGATCTTTTTATTTTGCAACCCTGGGCCAGTTAGACACCGGGAGATGATGGAACTTTTAACTTTTTTCAGTGGCCACATTTTGGTTATCTATGTACTAGAAGTATGTAAATTAGATTAAATTTCTCTTCTGGAAACTCCCTGGGGCAGGCAGCCAGCGTCTGTGTTTCCATTGAGGGGACAGGCTGGCTGGCTACCTCTGCCCAGAGGCCTGGCTTCTGCTGGCCAGCCAGCTGGCAGGGCTCTGCTGTGGGGGTGTGGGGCATCCCCCGCGGTGGTATAATGGAGGGCGGGGACCTGACTGGCACTGTAGCTCTCGTAAGTGAGGAACCAGAGCTGGGGCAGGTGGGCCAGGAAGGGAGCCTGTTAGAGACGTGTTGGTAACCAGAAGTGCCCTGGGAGGAGAGGGGTGTTGGGTGAGGGTGGGGACCCCTGAGGCTAGGAGAACATCCTGCTGGGCCAGCCTGCCTTCAGGACCCAGTAGCTGCCCCAGGTACCCAACTGGGGAGCAGGAGGCACTGGTTCCTCTGCGATGTCACTTAATTTTCTCACTCTGCCAGTGTTTAGTCAACCTTTCTGAGATTTTAAGAGATGTTGGCTGCTGCTCCTCGTTTATTCCATATAAATTTTCAGCTCAATTGTTTTCTCTCCACGTGGGGCATCGCTGACATGAGCTCCCAACCTCGCTACTCTGGGAAGGGGGAGACAAACAAGCCAACATCCCTGAGGGCCATGGCTGTGGGCATTGTGTCTGCCATGAGGTGGGCATACCGCATCTTGCCCAACAACAAAGAGGAAACTCAGCGCACATGCCCATTCTGACCAGGCAGGGCTAGGGCGCAAGTCTGAGCCTAAGGATTTATTTAAAAATAGCGATGTTAGCTCCTCAAAATGTGGGTGGAAAAGAGCTGACCAAGGTGGCCAGGAAGCCCATACCCCCAGCTTATCTTTGCTGGCTGGCAACCTCCATCTCTGAAGGATCTTTTTTTTTTTTTTTTTTTTTTTTACTTTGAGGCTTTTTGGGTCACACTGGTGATGCTCAGGGATTGATTACTCCTGGCTCTGCACTCAGGAATCACTCCTGGTGGTGCTTGGGGGTCCATGAGATGCTGGGAATGGAACCCAGATTGGTAGTGGTGGGCAGGTTTGCCCTATGCCCCCCCTCCCCGTACTAGCTCTTCAGCCCCACAGAGAACACTTTAAAGGGGCAGGAGAGATGGCACAGGTTAAAGTGCTGCAGAAAGCCAGTTCCATTCCTAGCACCATCTGTGGTTCCCTGAGCACAACCAAGGAATAGCCTCCAAATCAGGTGGCCCCATGTCTCCAAAGCATATTTTCACCCAAAACAGGAAAAAAATGTTTAAGTCACGATTGCACAATTCCATGAACTGCAGTGAATGCAGTGAATACAGTTGAATGTCACCTCTTGGACCCCTTCCTCTCCTCCACAAACCCTCTTGGGCAAGGGGGTGATGAATAGATCCCCCCTAAACACAGGACACAGGATCTTCTGTACTCTGGTTTTCAGTCATGGTTTATCTTCTCAGAGGGAACTCTCAAAGGCATGGGGGAGCAGTGCAGTGATGAGCGCTGCTGGTGGGGGCGGCGGGTACGCTTTGCCGACGTGCACTGTGCAAGTCACGAGGTCTTCACCCAGACCTGCAGTTCAAACCACTTTTGGACGTGCGCTCAGCTCCTGGTTGGGAGCTCAATTCACAATTTCGTTCCCGAAATTGCTTTCTCTTGCCCCAGTTTGGAACTGGTAGTCCCGAGAAGTCAAGACACTTAGCCCAAACTAGCACAATTTGGCTCCCTCTGGCGGGTGTCCAGGGCACTGGAGCTCTAAGCGCCGGGTTGCGCTCGCGCCTCCTTGTCTCTGTTACGCACAGACCCGCCCCTTCGAGCTGGACTCCAACAGCCAATCGCCGCGGGTTAGGAATAACGGTAGGCGGGGCATAAAGAAGAGCTCTGACGGGATTGTCAGTCTTCTCGGCCACTGAGCTCTGAGCAGACGCCCGGCTAGACGGCACCACTGGCCAATAGGCGTGAAGCCGGCTTTCGGCACGAGCCAATAGATTCGGGAGGCGGGGCTTTCCCGTGTGCAGAAGAAGCCGGGGCCAGCGTCGCGGCTTTCCGGGCTCAAGACGCGCGCCCAGAGACTGCGGGTTCCGTGTCCGCCGCTGCCATGAGCTACACAGGTGGGCCCGGCAGGCCCGGGGCGGGCTCTAGGCGGGTGGCGGCTGCAGGGCCGCGCCGGCCAGCGCTCCTGAGAGCGCGGACATGGTCGTGTCGGTGGCCCAAAATGGCGCCGCTGCCGTCGCCTCGGTCGGCGCCTCGGGGACCTCAGGGCGGCCTTCTGCACCCGCGGTGCGGGCTCACCGCGACGTCGCAGCGCCGGGGTCGCGGCCGCCGTGCCCTGCGGGCGGGCCGGGGACGGCGGGAAGGCCGGGGGCCGCGGGGAGGCCGCGGGCGGGAGAGGAGCCCGGCAGGCCCCGGGTCGGGGGTCGCGCGGGAGCTGCGTCTGGGCCCCGTGGACCCCGCGGGGGCCGGCGCCGGCCGCGACCCGGCCCAAAGGCGCTTCCACCCGTTGCTGGCAGCAGGGCAGTTGGCAGCAGTCGAAGCTGGGGCCTCCCGGTGCCGGGGAGCCCCCTCGGGAATGTCCCCTACGGTGGTCCGAGCGGGGCAAGGTGGACAGAGGCTGTGGGCGTCCGTTCCGGAGCTGCCTCTCACCGGCCGCTCTAGCCTCTGAGGTGATGGAGGGCTGGAGCCTTTGGCAGCCTCTTTTCCCTTGTCCTATCTTCACCGATACTGGATTTGAGAACACCTGGTTGTGCTCAGGACTTAATTCCCAGCTCGGCTCTGAGGCATTCGAACTGGTGGGCGACGACCCCCCGGTGGTACCAGGTGCAAGGCAGGAGCCTGACCTTCTGTCTCTGTGGCCCAAAGTGGGCCAATTGCTTTTGTTTGGGGGCCGCGCTGGTGGAGCTCTGGGCTTGCTTCTGACTCTGCTCAGGGATGACTTCTCCCAGGATCAGGAGACCAAATGGGGTGCCGGGGATGAACCCAAGTCGTGTCAGGCAAGTGCTCTACTTGGTCTCGTCTCTCTCTGGCCCACGTGTGCTTCAGAGAAAGAATCCCTTTTCTGAAAATGAAGGAGAGAATAAAGTCAAGGAACCTTGTGTGGTGTTGAGCAAGTGAAATGTCAGAGGGGCTGTGAGGAGGAGGGACTGTGTGGCTGCACCTCCAGAAACTCTTGGGCTGGCTGAGCCTTCTAGGATCAAAGACTTTGAAGGTCTGGACTTCCCCCCCAGAGCTGCTCAGATGGTGAATGGAACCCCAAGACTGATTTCTCTCCAGGTGGGCGTGTTTCCAATTTGAGCACCACTGGCCTGTGAAACAATACTGTGGATAGAAATAGAGCAGAGTTGCCTCTGAGCACCGAAGGATTTGTGGGCGGACCCGGGTCCCCATCCCCTGGGTAGTCTCAGGGCTTCACTCTGTAGTTCTCTGGGCTCGGGTGCGTGTGCCTGCCACTAGGGTCAGCAAGCATGCCACTGCACCTGCCCGATTGCTGAGCAGATGGGTTTCCAGAGACAGTGGCGAAGGCTGTAGTTAGTTGCTTTTTCTCTCTCTCTTTTTTTTTTTAAACATTCTGAGAGGCTTCCCCATATGTGAATGAATGATCTAAAGAAAGTGTTAAGAATATTTTCATTGTTTGCTGTAGATTATGAATCATCAGTCTGAATCATTAATACTTACAAGTTACGTGCCTGGGAAGGTTCTTAGTCCTTGGAGGGAATCTGTTCTGATGGTCTCTCCTCAGTGAGGAAACAGAAAAAAGTAAGGTCTTGGGTCTCTGCAGTTTCTCCTTCCCTGCTACCAGTCTGTGTTCTCTACATCCACTCCATCCCTTTTTTGTCTTGGATTTTGGGCCACACCAGGCAATGCTCAACGGGTTACTCCTGGTTCTGCACTTACAAATCATTACTGGTAGGACACAGGGGATCATATGGATGCCAAGGATCAAACCCAGGTCGACTGCATGCAAGGCAAACGCCCTACCCACTATACTATTGCTCCAACCCCATCTCCCCCTCTTTTATCTCCATAAAGTATAGGTCTGCCATCCTTAGTTGAAGCTGCTGGGCCTGGGTATGTTTGGGAGTTCCAGCATGAGAGAAAGATGTTCTACAGAACCCCCACTGAACTCTGTACTGCAACACTCTTTTTCTAAGGTAGAGAGGAATGTCCTTGAACATCAGTTTTGACCTAAATGAGCTTTGGTTTCATATTTGAGAAGAACACTCGGTTTCTAGACTTTTCTGAACTTTGAGTTTGTAGGGTAAAGGATCTTGGCCCTGACTCCTTTGTTGGCTGTGGCAAGTAATGTAGATCTCTTAGCAGCCTCCAAGGCAACCGCCTGCTTGGTTGTGAACACACTTGCTACCTTTCTTGCTGAAGTCTGGAAAGACTCAAATCTTTGATTGTCAGCTCTAGGGAAGTGCTTGGTGATGGTTTCATTGTACAGAGGATGTTGCAGACTGGCATGAAATTTCATCTCTATAAGGCCTCTGGGTTTGGTGCTGAGAATGCTTCTTAGGTAATCTCTCAAAAAGTAAATTGTTTAATAAAAATATTAATTACTGTTGGGGGTGTTTGGGCCCTATCCGGTGTTGTTCAGGGGCTACTCTAAGCTCTGCCTTTTCATGGGCAGAAGCTTCATGTTTGGAAGTGTAAGTAGAAGTCAGAAACTAGAAGTTTTCTGGCTATCTGGCAAAGAGGGCCTGTCAGCCCTTTTCCACTGAAGGTTAATTATAGGGCATCGTTGTGGAATTGGCACGGGGAAAGTAACCACACTTCCTGTGTTTAGGCTTTGTCCAGGGATCTGAAACCACTTTGCAGTCAACATACTCAGACACCAGCGCACAGCCCACCTGTGATTATGGTAAGTGTGGACCCCTGGGAACCAGCTGCTGAGTCCCCATTCTAATTGCCTTTGGTGGTCACCCATCTGACTTACGCAGGAGTGTGATGGTGCTCAGGGCTTACTCCTGACTTTGCATTCAGGGATCACTCCTTGTAGGGCTTGGGGGACCATATGTGGTGCCATGGATCGAACCTGGGTTGGCTGAATGCAAGGT